CCAGCGGAATCTGTCGTGAGAGATCTGCACTGTGTCAGGGGAATGCATCCATAAGGCCTGAAGGCCGGTACTCTGGGTTCTGGACGGGGCCCAAGGGGGACGCGTACGGCCCAGGATGCCCCCCATGAGGAGTCAGCGGAGAGGTGGGATTGAGTCCCCGCTGCAAACGCGGTGGTGCTCTGGGCCTGGAAGGGAGAGGCGGGAGGAAGTGGGCTGCGGATGGGCAACGTGAGCCTCCGCGCAGGGGAAAAGGAGCCCGCCGGTGCAGGTGCAGGGCCTCGCCTCCAGGTGGCGCCAGGCTGGCCCTGGCAGCGACTCCACCGGCCTTTGGCGTCCAGACTTCTCTGAGTCCACGGACTCTACGTCTCCATTGCTGTGTCTTGGGCATAGTTCCTGCTGTTCCAGCCCAGGGGCCTGGGTCCTAAGCTCTCGGCACAGCTTGGAGGCAAGGGGTTACTCCCCGGAACTGGAGTCCTGCCTCACTGAGATGGGGAAGAGTCAACTGAGGTGATTTAACTCATCATCAAGCTGTGTGACTTTGGGCATGCCAGTCACCCTCTCTGGGCCTCCTTCCTTTGTCTTTATGTTTACAAAGGACTTTATTCAGACCTCTGGAAAGCTAGCATTTGATCCCACATTGCAGACAGGACTGGGACCAGTCCAGCGTTGCAGTGTAGGGGTGGGAGAAACTGGACCATGTGATCTGAGAGCTGGTCTCTGCAGGGGAGGGCGACCAATAGGTAGATGGAGAGACAGTCCCCACAGGCCTAAACAGGAAGCTCAGTTCTGCATGTGTGACACAGGTGATAATGGTACTTCATGTTCAGGGTGGCCTTGCACACTTGGAAGGTAAGGACATAAAGGGCCTGGGAGCCGACAGAGTTCGACCAGAACAGGGCATTCCCGCTGTTGTCCCTCAGCCTAGGGATCAGGGCAGGAGGCTGGCTTTGCCCTGTTCCCCAGGAGGGTCTCGTCTCCTTGACGTTCTCAGTGTCACCCGGGCTCTGCCTGTTTCTCTTTCTGGGCTGGGGAGAGCCGTGGAGACGGGGACCCATCCTCCCTAAGGGCTTTGCCATGGCCCAGAGACACCAGGTGAGCAGCCCAGTGGCCCAGCTCAGAGCTTCCATGGGGTGGGACAGGGAGTTCACGTTCACATCCCAGGATCCTCCAAGGGCCTGACCTTGGATGGGACCTTGTCACTGTGGGGAACTCTTCTGACCCTGAAACGCAGTGGGAATGCCACTAGCTGGGTCACCCCAGTCAAGTCACTGCCCCTCTCTGCGCACTGGTTTCTGCCCCTGTAAAAGAGAGCATTCGAACTGAGGTTCTGGAGTCTCCTTGCCAATCCCTTTCTGAATCAGCACACGAGTCCTGCCTGCGAGGGACAGAATGCAGAGGCAGAAGCTGTGGGGGAGTGCTGTGACATGCCCAAGGTCACTTAGGGGAATGACTGAGCAGCACAATCAGAACTGGGACTCAGCCATGCGGTGCCCCCTGATCCAGCCTCAAATTCTCAGTTGAGGGTGTGGTCGCTCCGGAGGTGGGGGCATTTGGGCACAGGGCTGTGTCCCAAGCACTCCCGGGGCAGCCCTGACACAGGATGGTTTTAGAAACCCCTGGGGTTCTGGCAGGAAACCCCGGGCCAGCCAGGTCGTTCCCAAAGTAGAGGCGAGAGAAGGTGAACTTCCAGGCCCATGGCATTTGTTCTGTGGCCCCAGGTGAGGCTGTGACATGCAGGAGATGACAGCTGCCCCTTGCCCGGTCCCTGGGGCACAACGCATCCAGGCCCCGCCTTCAGAAGTGAGAGCCCAGGTCACACAGAGGCCAGCGCAGATTCAGGAGGAAACCGGTGTCCCGACAGAGAGGCGACTGCTGCCCACACAAGCAGGCCTGGTGGGCACCCCGCTCGGAGTGGGAGGGCACTGCTCCGTCTGGCTGTGTGTCTCTGGGCCGCCTCTCTGAGCCAGTGTCCTCATCTGGAAACCAGGCTTAACATCGACTCCCTAGAGCTCTCAAGGGACTTAAAAGAGGTTACACCTAGGAAAGGGGACCCTTCTCTCCCCCACCACCCCAAACAGGCTCAGGGAATGTTTCTACAGCCCCCAAACGCTGCCCTCTGATCCTGGAGCCCAGCGGTCAGGGGAGGGAGCCGCTGTTTGGCGGGCACCCGTCCACTTTGTGCCGGATGTTGGACATGTGTATTTTTAAAATCCTCACCCAAGGATGTGCCGACTGATTTTAGAGAGAGGACAGGGGTGGGGGTGGGCAGCACCCATTGGGTGCCTCCTGTATGCATCCCGACTGGGGATCAACACCACAACCTAGGAATGTGCCCTGACCAAGGATCGAACCTGCAACCTTTTGGTGTACAGGACTACACTAAAGAAACTGAGCCACCTGGCCAGGACTGAACATATGTATTCTTATTTAATCTTCAAAACAACGCTGGGAGTTAAATACTATCTCCCCATCACTTTTGTTTGAACAGATGGGGAAACTGAGATGCAAACAGCTGAGTCCTCCCCTGCTGTCTGCATGGGGCCGAGGGGTAGAGATTAGGAAGGGGCCTGGGGTGGGGGAGACACAGGCCAGCCTAGGGCCAGTTGTGGGCAGGCACTCTGCTGGGCACTGGGCTCCAGGGCTGAGCAACACAGATCCATTCCTGCCTCTCTGAGCTCAGGGCAGGGCGGCACAGATAGGAAACAGACTGTTTCCAAACACCGACCTCTGTGTGCCTGAGCACCGTCAGGGTGTGTGATGGAGGGGCTGACCTGGCCTGGGGGCCAGAGAAGGTCTGAAGGATGAGCAGGAACCAAAGGAACGACCAGGGGGCCCCACAGCACAGATCAGAGGGTGGAAACAAGTCCAGCTACCCAGGAAGGGCGAATGTGAGAGGGGCAGGGGCCAGTTTGTGGAAGTGAGAAGGGATTTTAAATTCCACGTGGACCACAACTGGGAGCCACTGAGGGTTTTAAGCAGGAAGTGAGTGGGGGTTCAGATTCAGGGTAGGGGTGTTCCGTGTCCCTCTGCACATCCTGCCTGCAGGACAGCTCCCTGGGGCAGGGAGAAGGTGGCTAGTTCCAGATCAAAAGGCCAGGGTCTGGGAACTTAATACATTCAATGGAAGGGGAGAGGAAAGAGCCTAAGGTGGCCCCTGGTGTAGCTGGCCTTGGAGGTGGGGGGCAGTGGGGCTCTTCACAGAGGGTGAACAGGAGGAACAGGAATGGCCAGGATTACTGGGCCCAGGGAGACTTCCGGAAAGGTTGTCTGGCTAGTAGTGAGGCTGGGCTTGTGGGCCCAGGTTGGAGGAGCCCCAGCTCCGGGTGGGGGAAAGGAGGCCAGGGACGGGGTGAACCCAGGAGGGACAGGCAGGAAACACAAGTGGGAAACACGAAGACAGGTGGAGTGCCCGGGACAAGGCCAGCCAGGCGGTCCAGGCTTGGCCTCCAGAGTTGACGTCGCCAGGAAGGGCAGTGACCGAGGGCGCAGGAGGAAGGGGTCTGCGAGGGCGGGGGGCGGGGGGCAGGGTGCGGGGAGTCAGTGTGCGCCCGGGTGGGTGAAATACAGAGTGGATTTGGGGGGTCTCACACGAAGGAGGTGTCGGGAGGCGGGAGGAAGCAGGAAGGAGGCTGCTGCCTCAGTGGGGCGCAAGCGGCAGCCCAGGCGGAGAGCTGAGGGCGTTCCCTTCCCAGCTCAGGCCGCCGGAGCCCTCAGTCCCACGGGCGCTGCAGGAGGATGGTCGTGGCGGAGCTCTCGGACCACAGGGGGCCACCCTGGAGACGGGGCTCAGCTCCACCCCGTGGCCTCCTCTGGACACCAGTAATCTCCAGGTCGGTCCACCCTAGGAGGCTCTGCTCCCAGGGGTGGCTGAGGATGCCTGGTCCCCAGGGGCTGGGAGAGGGGGCTCCCGGGAGCGCCTGTGCCATCCCCAGTGCCTCTCGACCGAGCCGGGGGGCAGGAGCCGGTGTTCGAGGCCTAGCTGTGCCATGAGGCTTCGGGACTCGCTCTGCCACGCGCCGGGAAGTGGGGTGGCCCAGGCCGGCGACGTCCTCCAGTTCCCCCTCTCAGCCTGGGGCGCACAGCCGGGTCTCATTACCTCCCTCACCCCGCCCCTCGCGCCCCGCGTGCCGGGGGGTCTCGGCGGCCGGGGGAGGGGCGCGCTCTAATCAATCCCAGGCCGGAAATTCCTCCCGAGGGGCCCGGCAGGGCTGCGGGAGTGAGGCGGGGGCCCGGCACGGAGCCTGGCAATCCTCCCGCGCCCCCCTCCTCTGAGCCCGCCCCCCGCATCATGGAAACTGGGCTGCCGGCCGACCCCCGCGCTCGGCGCCACATTCTTGCCTCTGGGGGCGGGCGGGGCGCGAAAGCCAAGTCGCCCCAGTCGGGCCGGTCCGCGGGCGCTGTGCGGCCCTCGGTGCCCCCCTCCCGCTTCGGGACAAGCGCCGCCCTCCCCCACCTCCAGGCCGGACGCATCTTCTTAGGGGGTGTGGGGGGCCGAGCAGGACCCGCGCAGCACATTTGATTCCCTCAGTTCTGGGCTCGTCCGAGTACCCGCACCCGCACCCCCGCCGCGACTCCTGGCCCCTGAGCGCTGGCTGGGGGGACCCGGCTGCGCCCGCGGCTGCGCGCCCCGCCCTCACGCCGGAGTTTAGCCCCCCGTTGCCTGGCGGAGCGGACGCCATCTGCCCATTTCACAGGTGAAGGCAGTGAGGTCGGGCAGCGGAAGGGCCGGCGGGGCAGGGACGCGGGCCACCTCCTCCGGGCAGCTGCCCGGACGACGCTGGGCGTCAGCGGCTCTCGGAGCCCCCGCGAGTCCCCTCCTCGGCGCCCGGCCCGAGGGCGCCTGGGCAGCGCCGGACGGTGTGCGGCCTCGGACCCCTCGGGCGGCGGAGCCGGGCAGGGGGCTCGCGGTTCCCTCTCGCGGGGACAGGGCGCCCTCCCGGCTTTTGCGGACCTAAGCGGGGCACTCGGGCCGCGTCTGCACGCGTGCACCCTGCACCTACCTGCGACCCGCAGACCTGAGTTGTCGCCTCTTCCCGCGGCCGGGCCCGGCGGGGCGCGGGCCGGCCCGGCCCCGGGACTCCCGGAGGGCGGGGCCCGCGCGGCGCGGGGCGGGGCGGGGGCGGGGCCGGGGACCCGGATTCCGTGGAGACCGCGGCAGCGCCGCGAGTCACGGCGCGCGGACTCGGACGCGGACCCACCCGGGCGCCAGGTGAGCAAACCAGGGTCGCGGGGTGCGTTCCTCACTTTTCCCAACTTTCTGTCCGGCTCCTCCCTCTGCACAGGCCCGGGCGGGCGGGGGCCGGCGCTCCCTCTCTCCGGGACTGAGGAGCGGACGCGGGCGGAGGCGGACGCCGAAGTGCCCCGGACCTGGTGCCGAAGAACTTCCCGCGACCTGGGACCTTCGGACTGCGTCGCCCAGTGTCGGCCCCTCGGGGCTCCCCAGCGTCCACGCACACCCTCCAGAGCCTCGGGGTCTCGGGGCGCGTCCCCATCTCTCCGCACGCCTCCGACTCCCTCCCCGCAGGCGTGCCCGGGGGCTCGGGGTGACTTCTCCAATTGGGGCTGGGGCGCTAGCTCTGACCTGGGGCGCGGCGGTCCCTTCTCCGGCTTGGGGCTGCGGAGAGGTCCTCACACTCAGCCACGAGTGGGGAACGGGCCTCGCCCCCTGCCAGGACCCTCCGTGGCTGTGCGGAGAAGCGCCCCGCGCTGAACCAGGTCCGGAGGCCCGGCGTCGGGTCCTGGCGGAGCCCCCGCCTTGTACGGCGGCCTGACCGCGGCAGGCCCCGCGCTCGGCCACAGTTGCCATCTGTGAAAAGCGGGCTGTGGACGCGGTAGACGCTGCTACTCCATGCTAGGCCCTGGGCTTCCAGCTCTCCTTTCGGGGGCGGGGATGGGTGTCCTGCTTTGAGCTTCTGGGGTGCGGATGGGGAGTGGGTAGGGTAGCAAGGCCTCGCCCCTGGGGCCTTGGGGCGAGTTCCAGCGCCGGAGCTGTTTAGAAACCAGGTTGGGGTTGGGAGGACACACCACTGGGTCGCGCAAAGTCCTAATCCCCCTGTCCTGCGGCCCCGGGCGCCTGGGCGGGCATTTCTTCCTACACCCTCCCTTCCCTGGGGGCCACACCACACGCAGCCCCGTTACTCCTGCTTCGGCCCGGATCCAGTCCCCGGGCTGGGCCGAACCGGCAGCGGGAGGGACTAGAGCCGGGCGCCCGGACCCCGGGGCGGCCCTAGGAGCAGGGGCGGTGCTGCACCGGCCGGGACGCGGGCCACTGGGGCCTCGGGCAGAGGAGGCCGCAGAGAAGGCCAGGCGGCGGGAAAGGGGGATGATTCATCCAGAGGAGCCCGAATTGGAAACGTTGCAACCTGGGAACAGCCTTGCCCGGGCCGAGGGGAGAGCCAGGAGGGGAGTCCACCGGACGAGGCCTGCGCCCGGCCCGGAACCCCCTGCCTCCTGCCCGCCGCAGCCGGGCTGCTGGGGCGGGGTGGGGGGCGGCCCCCTCTGAGCGGAGTTCAAGGAAATCCCGGGCAAAGTCTCCCGCTGGTCACGGCCAGAGTGGTCTTCCCGGAGTCTTGCTCACGTCTCTCCTGCTGCGGCTTCAGCGCTGGCTGAGGAGGGTGGAAGGAGGAGGGGGCGGGCAGGAAGAGGCTGGAGTCGGCGACACCCCCTCCTTTCTGCGCTGCGGTATGCGAAGCGCAGCAGGGGGAAGAGGGCCCGCGAGCGAGTGGCTCCGGCGGCCGGGCGGCCTGCCTTCCCCCACCCCCTTTACTACGGTGCTGCCACGTGCGGGGGTGAGGTCGCGCCCGGGCGGGACTTACCCTGCAGACGCCGTTTCCGGGGCCCCCACGCCTCCCGAGGCTCGGGGCCGCGGGTCGGCGGAGAGGGCGTCGGCGGTCGGAGCCCTGCAGCCGAGGATGCGCCAGGCGGCGGCAGCGGGCGCCCCCCTCCCTCCTCTCCGCCCGCAGGCCGGGCCAACTCGGGCTTCTGCCGCGCGGCCCTGGCTCCGAGCGCGGCTGCGGAAAACCGGAGTGGGGGCGGCTCCCTGCCTGGCAGCCCGGGAAAACCCGGGGGTGGCCGCCAGGGATCTCCAAGCGTCCCGGGCGAGGCAGCCCGATCTTCCCTCCCGGATTCGCGTCCCCAACCTGGCGCCCCGGCACTAGGCCCGTCGGTTCAGCCCCTGCCTCCGTCTTCCTTCTGCAGAGCGCCCAGACGCCGGCGGGATGACTGCCGGGAGCCCCGGAGACCGCGTGGAGGTGCGGAGGAGCCCCGAGGGCCGCGTCTCTCGCCTGGGCCGCCGCCTGGGCCGCCGCCGGCGCCCGCGCTCCCCGCCGGAGCCTCTGCGGGTGCGGGCGCGGCTGCGGCTGCGCTCGCCGTCGGGGGCGTTCGCAGCGCTGGGGGCGCTCGTGGTCCTGGTGGGCATGGGCATCGCGGTGGCCGGCTACTGGCCGCACCGCGCGGGGGCCCCGGGGCCCCGGGCTGCCAATGCCAGCGCGCCGCCGGTGAGCGAGCTGCGACGCGAGGGTCGCGGTGCCGGCCGGGCCCACGGCCCCCACGAGCGGCTGCGGCTCCTTGGGCCCGTGGTCATGGGCGTGGGCCTGTTCGTGTTCATCTGCGCCAACACGCTGCTCTACGAAAACCGTGACTTGGAGACCAAACGGCTTCGCCAGGGGGCACTGCGGGCCCAGGCGCTGCGGCCCCCCGACGGCCCTGGCTGGGACTTCGCTCTCCTCCCCAGCCCCGGCCCGAGGACTCCCCTGGCCGTAGGCTGTGCGGAGCCAGAAAGCTGGGACCTGTCCCCACGCCGGGGCACCTCGCCTGTCCCGTCAGTGCGGAGTCTGCGTTCAGAACCCGCTAACCCTCGCCTGGGGGTCCCTGCCCTGCTCAACAGTTACCCGCTGAAGGGCCCGGGGCTGCCTCCACCTTGGGGTCCGCGGACCCAGGCTGGCCATGTGATCATCACCGTGCAGCCCTCCGGCTCCTGCATCGAACACTCCAAGTCTCTGGATCTGGGCCTTGGGGAGCTCCTGCTTGGGGCCCCCGCTGCTCGGGACTGTGCTCACCGCAGCTGGCCGCGGCTGGATCACCTCAGCCTGGAGGGCTATGCCAAGCTGGGAGGGGGAGGGGACTTGGGGGCTCGGGTTTGAGCAGCAGCGGGTGGCCTGCGGTGGGGCTGCACCGCGGACCTGGTGACAGGACGGGCGCTGCGGTCACACCCCAGACTGGGGGGTGGATGCTCCGGCCGCAGACGCCGCTGAGGCGTCCTGACTGCATGTCGGCGGACAAGTGCCAGCTGCACCAGGGTTCCACGCGCTGGCATGTGTTTCAGTGTGGATTCTGGAGACCAGCATGGCTCGGCCTCAGGAAGTCCTTCAGCCTCCAAAGTGGCCTTAGCCCTGAGCAGGTACCTGAGGGGCTTGCGGTCCAGGCCAGGGTACTTGGGAGATGCACCTGGTGTCTGGGCAAACCTGAAGCGGTGGGAAAGGACCCTGAAGACTTGGAAGGTAGATTGGGATGTTACAGCTTCCTCCGAGGTGGCAGTGGTGACTGGGTTTGGGCCTCCAGGAAGGTGGGCGATGGGGTACAGCTGAGACCTTTCACTGCCATCTGGGGTGGGGACTGAGCCTTCACCTCCCACCACCTCAGTCCCTGTCCTCCCTCAGCCACGCGGGGTCCGCCCTGATTGGTAGGGGTCGGCCCTGATAGGGCTCCACTACTGCCAACGCCTTCCTGCGGGGGCTCCGCCCCCCGGCAGGTCTGAGAAGCCCCCTTCTCCCTTTCGTCCTGGTCTATGCTGCAGAATCTCCCTCCAGGTGGCAAAAAGTATTTGCCAGTCCTCAGAAATCTTTTTATACAGTGTTGAAGCTGCATTTTGGCTAATGTTGGTAGTTTACTTTAGCAAAAGGGGAAGAGAACTTTAAAAGTTGATCAGTCCTCACAGACTCAGTCCTTTTTTTTTTTAAAGTTTATTGAAAAATGCAGTACAAGAAGCAAGACCAAACACATATCTAAACACTACAGTTCTCTTACTACGAAAGGCCAAAACAGCAGACCTCATTATTGCCTATGTAACCTAAGGATTTTGCCAATTTGATTCTGCTGCCACAGTTCCGATTTTGTCGAGAAATGTAAACAACTACTTGATATGATTCATAATTTTTAAAAATTTTACAAAGCTCCTTCATTTTTGTCACCAAAATAATACGTTTGAGAGAGACAGGTAGGACCACCGGCCTGGGGCCGGGGTCCTGGGCAGGTATTTCCTGGGATCATCGTCCCCTGGGGTTGGTCCGGCCGGAGCTCCGGCTCTGTCTCCCCGGGCGGCGGCTGCCCGCTCGCCCGCAGCTGCCCCGCAGACCTCACGGCGGAGGGCCCGGGGAGGTGGCACAGGTGCCCGACAGGTCCCTGCGGCCGGGCTTCGTGGGCCCTCAGCTCACACATGCAGGGCCAGCTGGGCGCGTGGGTGGGCGGCAGAACCTCATGTGGCTCGGAGGAAGTCTTTATTTCTCAAGTGAAATAAAAATAAAGTTGCAGCGAAAGTTGTCACCGTGATACGTCTGAGTCACTTTAGGAAAACCGCCGCCGAGCCCCTCCCCTCTGTTCTCCCACCCAGACAGAGCCTGTGTTTCTTCACGCGCACACACACACACACACACACCCGCAGGAGGAAAAAAGTCCAAACTATTGCCAAACCCCGAGGTCTGTTACCAGAGGAGGAGGAGGAGAGGGGAAGAGGCTTGGAAGGACCCCCGCCCCTTACTAGCTTGTCCAGGTCAAAACCTCTCAGCGCCGGAAGGGTGTTGGAGACCTTCCGGTCCAGTTCACAGAAAAGGAAGCAGCGAGAAGGGTGGCGAGTTGGTGGCAGAGCTGAGGGAAAGGTGAGGCCCCCAGGCGTGTGGCCCCTGCTCTGAGAGCCGCCACACTGGTCTGGACAGCACAGAACATGCAGTCTGCTAGATTCCCAGTGCGCCGGCTGTGCCCTCTTCCTGTCCCCCATCCTCTTCGCTCTGCAGGTCCCAGCTCTGGGAGCCACGGGGGGCTTTCGGCAGGACTGCCGGCCACTGGGAAGTGAGCTCCCATAGGCTTGTTTGGTGTGAGCTGGACCACCCAGGCTTGGGCACCAACCAGAAAGCCCCATCCATAGCGACACCTATGCCCGCAGGCTGTAAGTCTGTTCCTGAGTCAGGACAACCTCCCCAAGCCGGCCACACGTCCCACCTGAGGTCCTCCTGAACACCCCCCTCCAGAGAGAGCTGCCTGTTGCTTAATCGCAATCTCACACCACTATTAAGAGAAAAACGCACACACCTGAAGTACGTTCAAACCAGCTGCGCCTGCCTGAGCAGAACCCGGCCAGCAGAGGCTTTGGACACAAGCCGCAGCCCCCCCGCCCCCGGGACTGCGGCCTCTGACCCCCCCGTCTGCCTCATGAATCCACACCTGCCCCAGAGTGAGGATCCTAAGGACTTCCAGGCAGATCTGTTTGTGGGAGCAAGCTGGAAGATCAGAGAAGTCCCACTGAATAAAAGTGCCCCCAAGTCTGTGCCTGGAACAGTGGAACTGAGACATCAGCCCTCATTTTCAAAACCAAACCACAACAAAAGAATGAAACCCAAGTCCACCATACAAATCAAGCCCACAAACCCTGGCAGCCCTTGCGGGGGAGTGAGAGTGGGCAAAGCTGGTGCTCGTCCCCCTTGGCACGTGGGGTCTTGTGGGCAGAATGGCCCCTAGAAGCCAACTGCCCTGCTCCACAAGGGTGCCTGCAGGCAGGTGCTGGTGGTAAGAAGACAGGTCAAGGATGACAGCCTCCTCCCTGCATCACATTCCTGATCACCCCAGGATCAGGGAAGAGGCTGGGGGGGGCGGCACCTGGACATGCTGCTTAGCAGGCTCCGCCCAAGGGACAGCCCGCCATCCCTGTGTGGGGTGCGCAGCCCCAGAGCCAGAAAACCTTTCAAAAGCCTCATTCGCTCTCTTTGCCCTAACCACCACAGAAAATGTGCCTCTAGTGCTCTGGGCCACAAGTGCGCAGTTTCCCGTGAGTCTGGGTCTCCTGAGACGGGAGGTGGGGGAGCACGCAGCAGAGCCGCCACTGCCGCTTCTGACGAGGTCAAGGGTGGGGGGGGGGCAGGACGGTGAAGGCCACGGGTCTGTTCGAACATTCACAGTATCAGATGCAGCTGAGCGGCTTCTTAGGTCTTTGATCTAAAGAAGCTCCGAAGAGAAAGAACAGGAGGGAGGAAAAGCAATACTACATTCTCAGCAGAGGGCTCTGCCTCACCAAAACCACCTCCACAGAGGGACAGGGGCACTCTTCCTGGGGCCTGTGGATCAGGGCGGCACCCTGCCTGACATTCTGGGAACGTCACATCACTGGCTCCGAGAAAGGGCTGGTTTTGGAAGTCTCTGCTGTCATCCGAAGGGCATAAAACTGGGAGAGGAGCAGGGCAGCCCCATTAAGCTGGCTTTGGCCCCCAACACAGCTGACAGAGGCTTTGGAGGATTTCCAGAAGAATTCTGCGGACCCTGTCAGTAGCTGGGTTGGAAATACAGGGGGAGAGGCTAGACTGAATGAAGGGATTATAAACCACCCCATAAAAACCCCAAAAGCTCTTTAAAAACAGTCCGGACAGTGAAAAGTTGAACAATCTCTGGTATCACAATATAGAAAAAGGTATTCAAAGGGATCGGTGATGTCTAGAAGACTCTGTTGGTATAAACTCCAAATAGAAAGTGAAATTAGTTTTCTGGTGGTTTATAATAATCTTGCAAGTCTGAAGTCTGACTATTGTAGTTTAGCTTCTTGATCATTTCTCGTGGATGGGAGACGGGCAGGGAGTTGGGGGTAAACGATTCCTAGAGGAAAGAAAAGCAAAGTGGATAAATCCTGAAAGGAAGACCTACCCAGTCCCATTACCAAATTCCTGTGGCCACAAGTGTAATCAAGGCCCGCACGGTTCCACAGCACCCAGTCCCGACTGGTGCTTGAGGGCGTCTTCAAGTCACTTGTAAACTGCTTTTGGGCATGAATTTATCGGGATCCCTGTCTCCCAAAAAGCAGCTGCTCTGCCTTCAACCCTCTAGTCCGGTCCGAGAACTTTAGCCATGTCTTCCCTGTCCCCCAACCCCTCCATTTCCAGACAGCCCGGTCCTGCTTTTCTTGGTCCTGTTCTCCTCGTCTGGCCCTCCTCCGTGACAGCAGAGAGCAGAGCAGCAGAGAGAAGGACGGAAGCCAGGCGAGCTGGAAAAGCAGGAGTGGCATGAAGATGCAGGAGGTGGGTGGGAGTCTGCATCCACGTCTGGGATGTCTCCTCTACCCCGTCACTGCTGCCACCACTAAGCAAGGGCAGGAGGGCACAAGGAGACCTAGCTGCCTTAGCAGGAGGCAGATACTTAATAACCTCATCAATCTCTCATCTGCCTTCTCTGTACCGAGCTCCAGGGCGGACCCCTCTAGGGGCATGGCTTCCAGAGGGGCCAGGGTTCCCATCCAGTGCTTTCTGAGGCTGGGATAGTGAGCACCCTCCACCCCAGCAAGAGCAGCCCCTACCTGAGCTCATTCCTCAGAGATTTCAGTCTCCTGATGGACGACCACCTTGGTCACTGACATGTCTGGGTGCTGCTCCTTTGCCTCCTTGATGGCCTGCACAAGGACCTGAGAAAGACAGACAGGACACCCATCAGGCAGAGAGCAGCCTGTCTGATGAAGGAAGGCAGGGGTCACAGGACAGCACTTCTCTGGCAAATTCAGAACCGGGGCAGCATTTAGGCTAAGCCACGCTGATAATGACCTTAACTACTGCATCCCGCACGAGGAAGCTCCCGGACTAAACACAGAGACAGGGAAGGTTAGAGCTGTCCCTAAGGAATCAGAGAGGGACTTCAGGGGCCATGGCTGCACCTGCTTGGTGGGTCTGGTGGAGGATCCACTCGGAAGTGAGTCTAAAGGACAAAGCAAAAGCTGTGCTCAACAAAAGGTAACTGGGAAGTCCAGAACAGGCGAGGGAAACACAGAAGCGTGCTATGAAAAGGGAGAGATGTCATTGGCTAAAGCCAGGAGAAGACAGGAGGCGTGGGAGGGCCTCCTGTCATGCACCAGCCTAACCACATTACTTATTATTATATGAGTATAATTAGTCTTCACAGCCACCCAAAGAATGAAAGTAAAAATCATTATTTCCCTTTTATACACAAGGAAACTGAGGTTCAGTGCTTGAAGTGCTTAGTGTTTCACTAGGTTACAGTGCCTAGCAAGTAATGCAACAGAAGTTTTAACTGAAATCCATCAAATTTTCCTCTTTACCATACTGTCTTTTAGATTCTGGGGAGGAGGGACCCTGTTTTAGCATCTGAAGGGGTTTTGGTCATTTTAGAAAAGCTAGAGGGAGCAGAGGGAAAGAAGAGCAATGGAGCCACCACTCTCCTTGGGCTGTGAGTCTCTGAGACTCCAGCTCGGAGCACCCCAAGGTGCCGAAGCCATTGGAGGCTGGTGGCACAGCGATTCTCAGAGACAGCCCCCTGCCCACCATTAAAAAGGATTCTAGCTAGATCTGACCAGCTGCCTGTTGACTCTGGCTCTTAAGAATCATCTCTAGCCCTGCCTGGTGTAGCTCAGTGGATTGAGTGCGGACCTGCAAACCAAAGGGTTGCCAGTTCAATTCCCAGTCACAGCACACGCCTGGGTTGCAGGCCAGGTCCCCATTGGGGGTGTGTGAGAGGTAACCACACATTGATGTTTCTCTTCCTCTCTTTCTCTCTCCCCTTCTCTTTAAAAATAAATAAATATATATTTTTAAAGAACAATCTCTAAGATGGACAGGGAAGGGTAGAGGAAAAAGGGAGAGCCCTCTTTTGGTCTCCTGGCTCCATGAAAGCCACTGTTGGAACCACCACCTCTACAGGCCCCTGCTCATCCTCCCTGACCCCTTTTTGCCCAGCTTTTCTGCTCGTGCTTCAAGGCCCAGCCCAGGCCCTCGAGTTGGCTACCCCGGCCTTCACCCATCTCCCTACGAAAGCCTGCACCGCACGGTTTCTCCTGAACAGTCAGTCCTTCTTGGAGCCCTTCCCTCCCCCGGCCAGAGGGCGAGCCTTATCCTCCACGGAGCCCTCAGCGCCCAGAAGAACTGAGGGGCCCTGGAGCAGCTCTTTGTCACAACAACCCTGAAGAAACCTATGATTTTCTTTATTCTGTAGATGGCGAAACTACATCTCAGAGAAATAAAATAACTTGCTCAAGGGCATACAACCAGTGAGCCATGGAGTCGGGGTTCAAGCCAGGTCTGTCTCGCTGCAGACCCTACGCACCCTTCCAGCCTGCTGCTCCTGCTGCCCAGCACAGACTGAGCACATAGCGGGGCCCAGGTCCGCTCAGAGAGGCAGGTAGGTGCAGGCAGGTGATGCAGCAGGCTCCCCCGAGCTGGGGCTGCGAGGCCTCTCCCTTGGGCTGAGCAGCCTTGTTGCTGGGACCCTGAGCCCAGCATTCTTAGCTGTAAGTCTCGACCCTGCTACCAATGGAACCACCAGCACTGCTCAGGTTCTATTTTCCTTTTTTTTTAAAGGCACTCAGCATATCAGAATAAAGGCCACAGAAGCACCGCTCCAGCGCTCCTGTCAATGATTCCAGAAGCGTTTGCATGCAGTGTCTTCCACCCCCTCTTCGCTGCGGCTTGCCTGCCGGAACCTCTCTGGCAGGGAATTGGGAACGTTAATCCTGACCTTATTATTTGCTAATTGCTTGTAGCACACAATTAGTACCTAATTAACATGAAAACACAGAACTTAGCTCTCAGAAGGGCCCAGAAATTATCTAGATCAGTGTACTGTTTTGGGAGAGGAAAAAAATCAGAGGCAAGGTGTTTCACCCAAGGTCACACAGTGAGTTAGTGTTCGATCTAGGGCAGAAAGCAAGTCAAGTCCATGTCCCCCTAGCTGTCTCCTCAGCTATGACAGCCCCGAGGGCAGAGGTCCTACCTTCCCTTTGCTTTGATGTCATCTACTGTCCCTAGCACAGGTTTAGGTCCCGGATATCCCTCGAACAGCAACAGCTCCATTTACTTGGAGCCCACCAGGTGCCACACGCTGGACACCCGTGTCTCACCCGAGTCTCAAAACCACCTTGAGAGGAAGGTGTTACACGCCCACCGTATAAATGAGGAAGCGGGAGCCTGGGGAGGTAAGCGTTAGAATTGCATAAGCCCGAGGATTGGAACTCGGGTGTTCTGAGACTGAAGTCCACGTCTTCCTATTACACTTCCTTGCTCCCCAGTCTATGGCCACCACCCCACAGGCCTCAGCGAGTGGATTCCCTTTGTCTTTCTTCTTCTTCTTTTTCAAGATTTCATTTATTTATTTTTAGAGAAATGGGAAGGAATGGAGAGAAAAAGAGGCAGAGAAACAGCGACGTGTGAGAGAAACATCAATTGGCTGCCTCTCATACAAGCCCCAGCTGGGGACCGGGCCCCAACCCAGGCCTGTGCCCTGACCGGGAATCAAACCAGCAACCTTTTGCCTTGCAGGAGGATGCTCAGCCAACTGAGGCATGCAGGTCAGGGCTGTCTTTCTCCTTGAGTAAGAGCTAGAGTAGCCCAGGGGGCTCTTTGGAGATGAAGTTGGCAGAGGTATCTTTTACATCCATCAACCCTCCTCCCCGGGGACCCCTCCCGTCCCCACAATCTCCTCCACATTCCCACCTGATCGTGGTCAATATCAGCATCTCCTGTGATCACAATTCTCTTTTCGATCCGGGTCTCTGATATCCCACCTTTTACAGTCTGAAACCAAAGGGAGGTGGTCATATGAGAAGGAAAGAAAAGAGAAACAGCAAGGGATTATTCTGCAAGCTCCACTCCAAATTTTAACCTGCTGCTGGCACTGCACAGAGCAGCTTTCTCACGTGCTTGTCCAGAATCTTGGCTGGACCTGCTAAATGAACACACCTCTATCCCCTTGTGTTGCTAAAATCTTTAATAAGTTCAACAAAAAAATCAGAATTCTCTATTTACTTCCTTTTCCCTTTTTCTTCCTCCTAAATACCATAAAAATTCAGTGAGTACACAAAATAGATAGGTATTCTGTTTATTCTTTACCAGCCTATTTTTTTTTCAGGAGGAAAAAAATCAGAAGACTGAACAAAAGTGTTATGCAGCCTGAAACGGGGCTCTGTATTTTAAAGCATGTTCATATAATTGATGTCGAAAAAGCCTCAAATAGCCTCCTCAGGGTGGGGAGACTTCCCAACTTGACACAGGAAGGAAACCAGGACCTAGACATGCTGAGTGACTGGCTTTCAGTCAGCTCTGTGTCGATGGGCAGAGCTCGGCCAGAGCCCTAGGTTTCTTACTTGTCAGAAAATGCATTTTCCCCTAGCGCTGCAGCAAACATGGATTGTCTCTGATTTTCTGGGAGCAGTTCCAATGTTATACATACTGTCCCTCTTGCCCTCATAAGCAACGCTGTGATACTTCCAATATTTCAGCATCCAAACTACAGTTCCCATGGCTGTGATCCTGGACATGGTCCTGATTTTTTTGGCTTGGACACCAAGAACACTTGCCCTTAAACTGACTTTTTAAACTTACCTCCATAGCCAGATGGCCCAGCCAGACAGAAGACTCCCCAACCAGAGACACGGACAGGTGTGTAAGGAGAGCCACCATGTGTGACTTTATGACACCACTAAGGAGGCAGGGACACTCTCAGGGTCTCCTCAGACTTACTCCTGGGGAAAGCAGCAGGCCCTTGCCACCTGGGACACTTGGAATAATTTGCCTCAGGAGGGCTGGGGCAGAAAACCCTTGTCTACGGACCAGAGTCCTCCCTGCAGAGAGGCAGCACGCCTGACATGCCCCTGGGTTCCAGAAGAGCGGACCGGCTGGTCTGTTACCTTGGTAATCTGAGTTGTGGTGGTGCTGCTGGTGGTCTCCGATGTGATGGTCTGAGCTGTCAGCAAGACTCCGGGGTCCAAGTCCCCATTGCTGTCCTCAGTCTGCAGAAGGGAGGGAAACAACAGGTCACTGTGCCTGGCAGGCAGCTTTGCGGGCAGACGTTGCGGGGCGCAGGTTTGCTCCTCAGCTGTACATTCTAAATTGGAAACCTGGTTCCTTTACAGCGACCTCTCTCTCTCCCCTTTTAAAAAATTTTTCTTCTCTTTTATTTTTAATTTTTTTTTTTTAGAGAGAGGAGAAAGGAGGGAGAACAAGAGGAAGAGAAACATCGATGCATCAATTTGTTTCATTTTGTATGTGCCGACTGTGGAACAAACCCACAACCTAGGGATGTGCCCTGGCTAGGAATCGAACCTGTGACCTTCTGGTTTTCAGGATGATGCCCAACCAACTGGGACACTTTGGACAGGGCTACAGTGATCTCTTAATAAATACATTTAAATAAATAAATAAAGCCAGCCCCGGCCAGGTGGCTCATTCGGTGAGCCAAGGAATCTCAAGCTATCTTCTTTGAAGGTGGAGATGGAAGACAGGAAACAAATGAAGTAGGAAGGGTCCCTTTAAAGCAGAGTGGAAGGAAATATACGTAGTATCTCAATGGCATTTCTGACAACAACACTATTATTAAAATGCATCCTCCTTATTATAGGAGGGGTTGAAAAGTTTTCAAAATGCCAACCTATACAATTAATCTAAATAGAGACCGAGGACTGGGGTACTTCTTGTTTCTCTGGAGCTGATCACTCATGACCAAAACAAACACACTGTGGTCAGGCTGAGACGTGGCGTCAGCAAAAGGAAGAGAGATGGCTGGCCCGGGCCAAACTCAACCCGGAGAGCAGCGGTCAGCAGTCATTTGGGCCATGTGACTCGCTGCTGCTAACCCCAAACCAAGGTGGACACACATGAGACGGAGGACACAGGGGCTGCCTCTAGCCACGTGCTCTGCACCCGACAGTGACCTACAACACCTGGCACTGGTAGTGCGCACTGTTGTGGAGGGGCATTTAGAGAGCTGCAATTATTTTCATAAAGAATCCCAAAGCAAAAGAGGTGAAAGGTGTCAGGTTATTCTCTTTTCCGGCCCCTTTACACAGTCATTTGCATGATAAGCAGAGGCCTCCGACCTTTTTATGAGAAGGATCACATGTTACTAAGGCGGAACTTTGACATGGGCGGGCGGGGCTCAGGTGGAGGAAGGAGAAGAGAATTAGGAAGGAGGAAAGTCCCTGGTCGGGTTCTCGTCCGAGTAGGAATCTAGACGGAACGAAGACAGGGAGCAGTGTTGTGTCACCTAAGTCTCACACACATGGCACCGCCTCACTGAGTAGATAGTGGGCTCGTTCACTGACTCTGTCTGCCTCCCTGACCCCCTTATCCACCTCAGATTCAGACTTAACTAAGATGTACTGCACCCCTACTATGTGTCAAGCACATAGTGAGAGTGTTATCTCAATGGCACGTCTCAGTATCTGAAGTAGGTCCTGTTATTGTTGTACGCACAGTGTACAGTTAAGAAAACTGACGTCCAGAGAGATTAAGTAACTGGTCACGGTTCTATAGTTAATAAGCGTTTGAACTAGGACTTCAGGCAAGAAACATTGTGAAGTTTCAAGTTTTGAAGTTTGAAGACTGAGGTTCGGATCTCGGCTCACATAACTGGGCAACTTACTCTGACTTCTCTCAGCTTCAGTCTTCCCATTTATAACAGGTAACACTGTAGTACACACCTGCTCTGCCTCCACCACCGCATTGTTTCAAAGATCAAAAAAGATCACAGAAATGAAAACAGTTTATAACGTGTTATAAGAATATACATGTGCATGCCAGGAGGGCTGAGCCTGTTTAAAGAGTTCCTCCTGTACTAAACCTGTGACTCAGTGTTTCCTACCTGGTCCCCGGGCCGGCCCCTTGCTCCTCCCCTCCGGTCCCCGAGGAAGGTGGCGGGCAGAGGAGACACACCGGGCTTCTTCTCTGTGACCGCCTCACCAGTGTTTCCTCAAAGGGTACTGTGGCTTTGACTGCTGCTTACAGAGTTAAACACCCATGTATCCTGTGACCCGGCAATTCTACTCCTCAGGGTTTGCCCAAGAAAAGTGAGGACTTGTTCACAGAGAGACGCGCACGTGCATGTGGACAGCGGCTTCAGTCATATTTGCCCCAAACCGGGATCAACTCAAATGTCCATCAACAAATAAAAGGGTAAATTGTGGAATATTCACGCAACACAGTACTATTTGACAATAACAAAACAGTAAACTGGATTCACATAACATGGATGAACCTGAAGGACACGTTCAGACACAAAAGTGTACTGCAGTATATTCTGCTTATATCACGTCCAAGAACAGGCAAAACTATGGTGACAGAAATCAGAGCAGTTGCCTAGAAGGGTAGAGGGCGACCGGGGAAGGCTACAAAGAAAGGAGTGACCGGAAATGCTCTGTATCCGCAATGCATCTTGGTCATACAGGTGTATATGTTTGCCCGGACCAATCAAATCGAGCACTTAAAACCTGTGCACTTCACTGGACGTAAACTGGGCCTCAGGCACACATGTCTGCACAAACACACAAACAGAAAAGCCCTATGCGGGCTCCCCATCTCCTCCCACCCTGTCTCCCTAAGAGTGGGATTGTGGGAGAATAACCACAAGGTCCCTGGGCTTAGTAGTCTGGTCAGATAGTAAAAACAGAAGTAAAAATACTTATAACAAATAAAATAAATAACAACAATAGCAAAGGATTATCTGGCACTTATCATGCACCAGGCACTTTTTTCTACAGGTTATTTCCATTTTAAACTGTGCTTTTTCACTTACCAGTTTATCACGTAGATGATTCTCATCAGAAGCTTTTTAAAATAGTTGCTTAGAATTACCTTAATTGGACAGACCATAATTTATTTAACTGTGCCCCACGGATGGACGTTTAGGTTGTTTCCATGGCAGTGACCACATGAAGGGCTCCCTCCCATAAGCAAGTAATTCTTTCCTACCTCCTCTGGCTAACTGTGCACACGATCTTAAAGCAATTTCCTATTCCCTCCTTTTTCAGTCCCCTTCACTGCCAAGTCCTATTCACTCATTTCTGTCTCTCTTGCTGCCACAGCTCTCTCTTGCTTCCTCAGGCTACACTTCAGTTCTCCACAAGGATCTCCCAGACCTGCTTCAGTCGTACTCCTGTCTCCAGGCAGCCCCTGCTTTCATATATTCAGGACACAGCTTTAGGAATCATCTTCCAAAATCCCTGCTTTAATGATGCCACTTTATCACCACTATTAAGAAACTTCAAGCAACTGCTCATTATTTACCAAACTCAAGCTCCATGCTCAGAAGAGAGAGAAGGGGGAAGCATTTCAACATTAACCAAGCACTTTACAGACATCCTTTCACTGGACCCCCCCCCACCCCAAAATCTTGCAGCGGTAGGTGGCATATCCCCATTTTACAGCCGAGGAGCCAGAGGCTTAGCGAGATTAGTGATTCGTGTCACGTGACCCAGCTAGTCATCCTGGATCCGCAAGGCCTCGTGGCCAAAACATCTACTCCCCAAAGAGGGTTTTCCAGACGATTCCAGCCCCAAAGTAGCAATCTTTCATGCAATCCCGGTTGTCTAGCTCTTTATTTTAGTTTAGTTTCTTTACAGCACTTGTCACTGTCCCAGATTTACACGGCTATTTATGTGTTTTACGGCCTGTCTCTCCCGACTGAACGTACGTTCCAGAGGACAGAGCCTGTGTTTACCACGGACATTGCTTTGGCCTAATAAAGAAATGCTCGAGAAATGCTCACTGCAGGAAGATTTAACAGTTCAGCTTATAGAGGGAAAAGTGTTTCTTTTTTTCTTTCTTTTTTTTTTGGAAAAGTTTTTCTTATTGTTGGCTTCTGTGATTTAAAAAAGGAAAGAAAAACAACATAAGCAACCCTAGCTCATTCAAATTGTCAATAATGAAAGAGAAATTTTATTAAAAGTGGGAAGCAAACAAAAATTTTAAATACAAAGATTCTTATGTGATATTAAATTTGATTTAATTGTACTGAATTGATTATAATTATCATAGCTGTTATTTATGCTTTCAGGTTTGGCGTTCAAGTCAATTCCATGCAGTACTATGCCTTATATAATCTTTTTAAACAGATTTGATTTATTTATTTTTAGAGAGAGGGGAAGGGAGGGAGACAGAGAGGGAGAGAGACATCAGTTGGATGCCTCTCGCATGTGCCCCAGCTGGGGATCAGGCCCGCAACCCAGGCATGCGCCCTGGCCAGGAGTCAAACCAGCAATCTCTCCCTTTGTGGGATGATGCCCAACCAACTGGGCCATGCTGGCCAGGGCAATGTCTTATGTAATCTTCATAACAAAATCATGAGGCAGCTACAGGTTCTAACATCACGTGGGTGGAGGTGGGGGGCAGGGGACAGGGCATCAAGGCTCAGAGATGTTCAGTTACTTGCTTAAGTCAATAAATGGAGAGGCCAGGACCTGCACTCTGGTGTGTTTGACCCAAAGCTCATATTCTGAACCATTCCACTGGACCGTTCTCCCTCAGTGAATTGGGTGGCCAGAAACAATCAGATCCAAGACAGTTTTGATTTTAATAAATTACTTTGGGGCAGGGGCCCCAAACCCCCAGGCCACCAGGCCACCAGTCAGAGGCCTGTTAGGAACCAGGGCGCACCGCAGGAGGTGACCCAGGATGGAGGAAGGGAACCTTACCACTAGAGCTCCGCCTCCTGCTGTCTCCTCCCCGCCCCTCAGCCCAAACCCGTGCCAAAAAGGTTGGGGACCGCTGCCTCTGGGCATTCTCAGATGAGTGATGTCTTCTAAAAAGAATGTCCCAGAAAAGGCTAGCATTATTTGGAGCAAACAATTAGGCACCCTGTGAAAAAAGGTTATTTATTGTGTTTATTCCATCTTTGGTTGTGAAACATTAAACAGTGTCCTACCTGAGCAGCCTCATAGGTGATGGTCTTGGTCTCGGTGTGGACAATGGGGACGTCTTTGGTGGGGATCTCGCTCTTCACGGCGTCGGCAGTATCCGAGAGGGTGACGGTCTGGGTCTTCACCAGGGGAGGCTGCGGAGCAGTAAGGAAGCGGTTACCGGGAGCTTCTGAAGGCGCTGGAGGGCTCACCTTCTGACATTGACCTGATCAAAGTGATAGCTCGAACCAAGCAGAGGGCCAGTTCAACCTCTGCCCAAGATTTGGACACTACTCCAAAGTAGCTCTGACAAGGTGTCAGATCCTGAGAGATATTAAAGAACAGCATTACTGTAATCACTTCCATATGCTTAATGGAAAGCTATACGATCAGACAATTATGATCGGTGATAAAAAACACTTCAGACTGACCTTCAGAATTTGAATATAAAACCATTTGCCAAATAGCTGTCTTCTCTGTTTGTCCTTCCGATCGCACCATTAAGAAAATCAACCATAGTTCCTCCACTTAGTTCAAGTGGTACATGAAACAGCAGTGGCATTGAAATGCATTACCCTGAATTCATTAACTTCTTTCAAATCAATGTCAGACATTCACTTTGGAGTGATTGAGAAGAAACAGTATTTGGAAAACTGGGGAAAAAAATCAGTTCTACCACCACCTGGTGATTAATCTCAGAATTTCAGAAGAGTGAATATTAGTAGAATATCAAAGGCTACTACTCATCTACCAGTCACCTTCCCCGAGACTAGAAACCACCCTAGAACTAGCAGTTGATTGTGATGAAGGTACGTGGCCATCCACCTCAGCCCAGGAGATCAGTGCCCACGATCACAGAAGCCCCTGTGAGTGGGGTCAGTGGGAGTGGTGAGCTGTACTGTGTGGTTGCAATACATAAATAATTTGGGGGGGGTCTGAAATCTCATAATAAAATCATTGACCCCTTCTAATTAAGTGCATTTTAATTTTTCGAGCACAGTCGCAGAACACTGCAGGCTCCTCATCACGTAAGTCTCAAAAATTCACCTCTTCGCATTGCCCATCTTGACCAAGGAAGAGAAGCACACACCAGCTCCGTAAAGGTGAGCCGCTGGAGTTTACCCCCAAGAGTCCTGTTAAGTCATCAGGGGAAAAAGCACTTGGAAGCCATGGAGGTGATTCCTCTGGTGAAATTTCTTTAGAGTAACCAAGGGCTTCCATTGTATTCTGTGATTTGGAAAACAGCACAGAGGCTACTGCCCTCGCCACCACCACCGCCTCCTCCACAGAACAGACTGGGGCCCTCTCCCGGAGTGAGTCATCAGACCTGCGTCACTGAATCAGTTACTACCTGGAAACTTCGAATGAGGGTGGGGAACTGGTTACCCACACGAGAGTCAAGACACGATCCGCTCTGCTTTCCAAGTGGCTCTCCTGGTGCAACATGGTCTTCACTACTCTCTGCCTTGTTCTCACCAGGTTGCAGCTCACCGGAAGCTGGGGACACTGGGACCTTTAAGGCACTGGCCTGATCCTCCACTCCCATACATTCCCCACTTGGGCCTCGGGGCATCTCAATATCAAGAGGGCCAGCTTCCCCCTGCTCCTTCTCTTCTGTCTCCTTGCTGTTTATGGAGAGGGAGCCCATGTCAAAGCCTTGCGGAGACTCCGACGGGGCGGTCGTCTGGCTCACACTAGGAATTACTGAGTGCTCGGGGCCCGCCCGTCCAGAGTCAGGCTTGGCGGGTGGCCCCAGTGGCACGGCAGCCGCCTCCTCTGTGCGAGTGCCATTTACATTCTACAAATAAATGAACACATACAAAAGCAAGAATATTAGGAATAAGTGGGGAATGTAGTGAGCTCTGAGAATCAACAATGACTTTTAAGAGGCCTCAACAGTATTAATGCAAATAGAAACCAATAAGCTTAGCGCCTGAAGTAGCCGAAAGAAGGATTACATCAGCAGCTTAAGTAAGCTCCAACTTCATTTTGGTCACGTTTCTAGAACTCCGTTAGTCTGAGGAGTAATTTTGATGTCCTTTGCCCACTATCAAGAACTTTGTATTACTACGGCCTTTCCTTTATGACACACTCTTCTTACATAAAGCAGTTACCGGTACTTTGCCATTGCTAAATACCCAAGTCATTACTGTACACGGGGCACAATGCAACATATGTGAGTCAGTCAAAACATCCTTGAGGAGCCTGATCAGGCTGAAAACGTTTCATGTCTCCAAGACATATGTATCATCATCCTAGCACCTAATACAGAAGCTAAATTCTAGACTTTGGTTGGTGCGGATACAGAAGTTGAGTTCATCCAGCACAGACTTAATCTAGTCATCGCCATGGAATTAAATGTAATATCAAAACTAGTGAAATATTTCTTTGTAAACAGAATAAAAATGGCCCAGCAGCTGAGGTCATTTCTTCACAGATGAATGACTACCGTCTCCAACCCCTAAGGGAAATGAATCCTGGAAACACAGAGTTCCCTCTTTGGCTAAATGCCTCACATCACAGGAAAAACAGGTCTAAAATAAGTGCTTCTAGGAGAATGAGGATGAGAAGAACACGTTGTGGTAGATGGACCTATTCCTAAACTTGAAAGAAAGGTGCTGGAGGTGGGAGAAGGAAAGCAATTCACACAAGCAGGAAAAGAACGAGCCATCTGAAAAATGAACAATCTAGCAGAAGCCAAACGTAATGAAAAGTTACAAATGCAAGTGCTCACCAGAAAGCTGTAAATGTGCCACTTAGGCCTGAAACTTGGGTGAGGTCAAACTGCACACTACATACCACACCGGAACTTAATGACAGACAGGGACGTTTTAAAAAGGTGCTTCTGAAGCAAATAACATATGTTTGGACCAGCTTACACACTGTAGCACTCAAACCACGTTGTATGGATTATATTTTAGACAATCACTGCTTCTCCTTTCCTTGTAAACCAGCCCACTTGTGATGAAAAAAAAAAAAACCCTGCTCTATTAAGGCAAGAAGAGATGCAGCACACTCAAGAACTCGAGGCCGACTCTTCTTGTAAACCATCTTGAAACAGTCGGCAGCATCACAATTAGGCAGGTCTCTCAGGGATGGGTTATAAATATTACTTAGGACATAAAAAATGGAACTGAGAAATGACAATAGAAACTGTCTCTGCAGATGTATCAGAGATACAGAAAATATTCTTGCTAAGGGTACATGAATTTCCTCATCCTTAAAATGAGAAAAATACTTAGTTTGACTCACAGGGTTCTGAAGATCAAATACAATAGTCTATAAGAAAGCACTGTGTAAATTCTAAAGTACCATATAAATTCACTTAATTCAGCCAACATTATCTGAGCACCTCTAACAGGCTACAGTCTGGGGACACTAGAATGAACTTGTTGTACTTTCTGGGGCACTTATGTCACCATTTCTTTTGGGTTAGACTAGCTGATGTAGAGATATCCAAAAGCAGATGGACTGGTAATAAACAAGTAGGCTTTCCCAAGTTGCTATATGCTAGCTCTGTGAATAGCATACCCAAATCTATTCGCATGGAGAGGAACTTCATCAGAGATGGCTGATTAATAACCAGGAAAATACCTAAGAAAATCAACCAAGTAAGAGACAATTTTATACCAATCTACTCAAGTGATAAGTGTAGTCTGTCACCAAGAAGCCATTTCTGGCAAGATGGAGGCATAGGGAGATACGCTTTGCTTCCTCATACAACCAAAAGAAGGACAACAAATTTGAAAACAAAAAACAACCAGAACTGCCAGAAAATTGAACTGTATGGAAGTCCGACACTAAGGAGTTAAAGAAGAAACATTTGTCCAGACCAGCAGGAGGGGTAGAGACAGGCAGCTGGGTGGAGAGGATGCCCGGCAAGGCGGCAAACTGGGAGGTCCCACATTCGTGTGAGGATAAGCCAGGAGGAACAACTGGGGGGAGCAAGACAGACTGCACAACCCAAGGTTCCAGCACAGGAAACTAAAGCCTCAAAACCTCTGGCTGAAAACACCTGTGGGGATTGCAGCAGTGAGAGAAACTCCAGGCCTCACGGGAGTGTTCACTGGAGAGACCCACAGGGCCCTAGAACGCACACAAACCCACCCACACACCCACCCAGGAGTCAGCATCAGAAGGGCCCAATTTGTTTGTGGGTAGTGGGGGAAGTGACTGAAAGCCACAGAGAGCTGAGCAAGTGGCACTGTTCCCTCTAGGACGCCTCCCCCACATACAGGCCACGACGCAGCAACATGGATTTCCCCACCCTGGTGAATATCCAAGGCTCTGCCCCTTACAATGTAACAGGTGCACTGAGACAAAGAAATGTGGCCCAAATGAAAGAACTGATCAAAACTCCAGAAAAAAAACTAAGCAACAAGGAGATAGCCAACCTATCAGATGTGGAGTTCAAAATACTGGTAATCAGGATACTCACAGAATTGGTTGAGTATGGTCGCAAAACAGAGGAAAAAGTGAAGGCTATGCTAAGTGAAATAAAACAAAATATACAGGGAACCAACAGTGAAGGGAAGGAAACTGGGACGCCAATCAATGATTTGGAACGGATGAAAGAAATAAACATTCAACCAGAACAGAATGAAGAAATAAGAATTCAAACAATGAAGAGAGGCTTAGGAACCTTTGGGACAACTTTAAAATGTTGCAACAGCTGAATCACAGGGGTGCCAGAAGGAGAAGAGGAAAAGTAAGGAACTGAAAACTTATTTGAAAAAAATGAAGGAAACTTCCCTAATCTGGCGAAGGAAATACACTTCTAGGAAGTCCAGGAATGTCAAAGAGTCCCAAAAAAATTGGACCCGAGGAGGAACACACCAAGGTACATCATAATTACATTACCCAAGATTAAAGATAAGGAGAGAATCTTAAAGCAGCAAGAGAAAAGGAGACAGTTACCTACAAAGGAGTTCCCATAAGACTATCAGCTGGTTTCTCAAAAGAAACCTTACAGGCAAGAAGGGGCTAGAAAGAAGTATTCCAAGTCATGAAAGGCAAGGACCTACATCCAAGATTACTCTATTCAGCAAAGCTATCATTTAGAATGGAAGGGCAGATAAAGTGCTTCCCAGACAAGGTCAAGTTAAAGGAGTTCATCATCACCAAGCCCTTATTATATGAAATGTTAAAGGGGCTT